GTATATTCCGATTTGTAGTCTATCACAACAATACATGCATTTTATGAAAAGGTGAGTATTGGGGTTTTACCCCATTACTCTGAACTCATTGGATATTTCTGCTGGCAAAAGGGAGTGTCATTCTTCATCCATTTTTCCTCGATGTCATAGCACCTGCACTCCAAATCTGCTCTAGAAGGTTGCAGGATCTCCTGGAAAAACATGGAGGCGGTAATTGAACAAACACTGTCTGCCTCAGCTCTAACAATGGGAGCTGCAATGAATTAAAGCTTTTCTATTCCAAGAAAAGGACATTATCTACATCTAGGCCTTTATAAATGTAGGTGAAGAGGAAAATTAGTCACTTTTCTTGTGCATTATCAAGTTTTGTAATTCCTCTGTTAATCTTAAACAGATTGATTCTGTGGATTGATCTATGTGCTTAGAGCCTATAGTTGGTAAGAAGGGATAGAGGAGGCCCAAATATAAAAGTAAATGTTTTAATATCTAAATGTGTCTGTGGACGAGTATTTTTGTTTCTACTTTTAGCTGCCAAAATGGTATACTATTTGGATTCTACAAGTCAGAAAAGAGCTGTGGAACTGGCAACTTCACTTGATGAATCTCTAGCAAACAGAAATCTTCAGGTAAATTTGATATAAAGATTTATGTATTGTCTTCAAATTTCAAACGAAATAGCCCAGCAAACTATACAAACATTTAGTAATTTTCTAAGGAGCGGAATGTTTAAGCCTTACATATAGCAATATGCACAAACATCTTAACAGAATTAGCAATTGTATCAATTCTTGAAATACACAACTTTTAAAACACTTTTTTTTTTCTTTTAGACATGCATAGAAGTATTGGAAGCATTGAATGATGGTAGCCTTGGAGACTGTAAAGAGGCAGCTGAAATGTACAGAGCAAATTGTCATAAGCTTTTTCCATATGCTTTGGCTTTTATGCCCCCTGGATATGAAGAAGATACGAAGATCACAGTTAATGGAGACATATCTGCAGAAACTGAAGAATTGGCCAATGAAATATGAACTTTAAAAGGAGTGGAATGATTTTGGACTGTATCTGGTGTATAATATTTTTGTCACGCACCTGCTGAATTGTTCTAACTTACAGAGAATGGAAGGAGAAAAAAAGTTGCCTTCAAAGTTTTACTTTTTTTTATCCTGCTGACGAAGTATATAATATAAAGTAACGTATTGCTGGAAATAGATGGCTCAATTAAAGAAAATTAAAGAAAAGCTAAGCACTGCTAAAATTGAAAAGTATCCCTTATCTACATACCCGTTTTTTAAACTAATTTATATGGAATCTGAAGGCTTAACACCCCATTGGAGCAGGTGTGTGGCAGAAATATTACTTTAAATTTGTCTTGTTGAGAACAGCAAAAATGCTGTTTTAGCACTGGATCCTTTTCACTGAGCACAAAAAGTTGTTGGGGCTTTAGCATCTGACTGATTTTCATACAGAGATGATTCTATCCTTTGGAAGTATGCAATGTGAATCACTATTTGCAAACAAACCTGCAACACATATTTAATGCTGTTGTAGAGACTGGGACTTAAATATGAAGCAAAATAACGAAACGTAAGGTGTTCAGTAAGCTTGTTGTGTCTCCGAAATTCACTGCACGTGATCAGTTGGGTGTTCTTGCACCACAGTTTTTAAATGAAGGAACTGGTTAGAATATATTTTTTTTAATTCAGTTTTGAAAAAAAATAATCGATGTTTAGGAGATGAGAATGACAACATTGTTGGCTAATTTTTTTAAAAAAACTGTAATGCAAGAACAAATGAATTATGCACTGTGATGTGGCACCAACTTATTAGAAAGACAGCATGTAGTTTTCACGTACAGTGAAAATATAAATGATATTCATTCAACTATGGATTGAAATTTTTAAGAGACAAACTCCTGACTATGAATTTGACTGATTGAGAGACTAATTGTTTAAAACCTCAGCAGGCCTTGTTCACGTTATGCAGGAAAAAAAGTGCTGCAGTTTAGATACCTCTGAAACTTTTCCACAGTGTCACAGGTTTGTAATACTTGAAGCCCTACATTTCTAAGAATATATTTCTTGCTCAGTTATTTCAGGCAAGCCCATGACTTTGTAACTTTTAAGGGGCCCAAGATTTTTTTTCAATAACAGACCAGCTTCTTATCCCTGCAGTTACAGATGTAATTTCCTTTGTCAAACATAAGGTACCAAATATAATGCAATAAAATGTTTTGAAAAAGAGTTGTGTGATTATAGAATTTGAAAACTGCTGTCAGGAGATGTAGTGCAAGTTCAGTGTAACATATTATCATAAAAGATTTATATTAGTGTTGGTGAAATCCCACAATGCATAATGCGACAGTGTTTGGAGACACTACTCCCCTGCCCCCCCCCACCGCCCTATTTCAATAAAGCTAACCATAATGACTGCCATTGTGAACAATGATTTGCAACTTGGCAATCATGGGTGCTCAAATTAGTAGTAAATACCTTTGTGAATTTTATCCCCACAAAGATAATGCGAATTTATATGAATTAGCAAATTTGCAATCAGAAATCTAAAGTACAGTGTAGGAAATGCTAAAAACAAATGTCAGTATGAAAAAAAATCAAACAGCTAACACTTTGTGATTTTCATTGTTGTACATCTCTTTAGAGATATCATTACTCTTTCTGTGATAAGAACAATTTAAAAGATAAGTATTGACTGATCATTCGTCTAGAACCTTCATCTTTTGAAATACGTGCATCTAACAAAATTTGTGTGGACCCCTGTGGTTAATCGCCCCACTCATTTGCATGGGTCCAGTATATCTGAGAAAAACTTTTCTGTGATTAATCAAAAGACATTGTATTAATTATATTAATACAAAATGAGAATCCAAGGGTAAAGTCTCTCAATTCAAAAATCTTGGTAACTTATGATTGGTTGGTGATACAAATTTGTTTCTTACTGTTAATGCACAATAACAAATACTGCTGGTAGCCATGAAACTACACTGCAATCATTCTGCATTTTTAGCTAAAAACCATACTGACAAAGGATAAAGTTTTACTTGAGGGTTAATTTGAACCCTTTTTCTTCCTCCAGTGATGATAGTTGATAATTTAAAATGATCAGATATCAGAAATTCTGTAGCAACTCTTCCAAGCTGTCATTTTCTTTATACTTACAATAAAGGGTATATATTATAGCCTAGGCTTTTTATAGCCTACTATTTCATTAAGACAGACACATCTGCCAGTAAGAAGTGTCCTCTAATATCTTAAATTTTAAAAGGTCCTTATAGCTTCATAACATTTTTATAAAACTACAAAAAGAGACATAAAAATATTGTGCTGTGTGTCCTCCCATTTTGCAGAAACAAATACTGAATATTTGCAATATCATTTTTGAAATGAAGATTAGATTTCCCAAAGTAATTTAAAATGAGATTATTGTCTCATATAACTATTTAATATTCCTGGGAAGCAGGGATAGAATAAAATTCAAGGTTATCTCATCACATAAATATCGTATATACAGGGAAATTCTGTTCTTAATGCTTGTATATTTAGTCACCTCCATAGGGAAAATAAACCCTAGTTTAAAGTAAAAAAAAATTCACATGCAACTGGTAAGTGTATAGTGGAAGTTTCTGGTGCTGAAATATAAATCCTTTTCTAAGTTTTAGATTCTTGCACTACAACTCTGTTAAATACAAATCCCTGTATTGTCATAATGAAAAGATTAAGTCTTTGGATTATTACACTTTAAATAATAATGAAAAGATTTGAATAATGAAAAAGCTTCCTGTTCATCCTGGTGGTAATACCTATCCAATCTTGGCAGGTCTCAGTTAAGCTTGGTCACTACACCAATAAAGACCATCAGGAAATCTCTGTAAATCTGGTAAATTAGGTGTTCAGAGTACCCAAAAGGACTATGTTATTTCCAAGAAACATTAAGTTGCCAGGAATTAAGCTTAAAGTAAATCAATTTTTACTTAGATTTATTATTTTATATTAAAGTTACATATTATAATTGAAAGGAAGCATCTTGTTTTTACTCTTTCTGCAATGAAACAAATGGAATGAGGAAAAAATGTAAGGACTAATTTATCATTATAGGGGCTGATTGAGGTCCTTGGTGACAAATTGCCAGAACTGCTCTATGGTCCATCACGGTTTTAGTGTTGGTGTGCAGTAGGCTTTATATCACATGCTAAATCTACAATACTTTTCGCAGTTAACTAGGGATTAATAATGTGATTATGATATTTGTCCAAAAAAACTTTATTAAGGCAGTACAAGCTGCTGCTACTGCTGGCCGACAACTGATATTCGAGGCTAGACATAACTACTATGGAGCACTCCCTACTAAAAAGACAGTCCCTCTCCCAAGATCACCTAAACCTCAGCCCCCAAATAATACTAGTCTCCCAGCAGATTTATTTCCTTGCACCCGTTTATTGCTTTCCCAAGTTTAGGCAGCGAATTCAACGGCAGATGCTTACTAGTGTTGCTCTACGGCGGGCGGGGGGGGGGGGCCCCCTACTAAACGGCAGGCCCGCTCACAGAACTATTTTCTCTTCCCCCCCCCCTCCAAAACGCGGAAAGGTTGGGGACCTCTGTGCTGCAGCACCAGATGGGTAACGGGAGCCAAATCTCCCTATAGCCCGTATCTCACCCCGAAGGATTTCGCCTCCGAAGCACCCACCCACCTTCCTGGCGAAGGAGGTTTCCCTCCCTCTCCCCCCTCGCCTCGTCCTTCCCCTCTCGCGGTATCTGAAGCCAAGTCGCGGCCGCTTTTCCTATCGGGAGGAGGAAAGGGGGGGGGCCTGTCGTGCCTGGACCGTCACTGCCTTGTCCCGCCCTTGAGTGGCTCTGTGGATGCCGGTAGCGGCAATCGCGTCAGGCGGTTCGCACTGAGGAAAGCTTTGAGGCACGGGCCGAGTTTCTCTCGCCGCCCGCTTCCCCCCCCCCTCCCTCTGTTGGGCGGGCCTGAGGGCGTCGCAGAGGGAGGAGGAGGAGGAGGAGGCAGCATCCGATGGCGGCCGACGTGGAGTCGTCTCTGGAGCTGAGTCTGTCGAACAGCTACGCGGGGCCCGGGTCTTTGCCGCCCGCGCGCTCCCGCATTTTCAAGATCATCGTGATCGGGGACTCCAACGTGGGGAAAACGTGCCTCACCTACCGCTTCTGCGCGGGGCGCTTTCCCGAGCGCACCGAAGCGACTATCGGGGTAGACTTCCGCGAGCGAGCCGTCGACATCGACGACGAGAGAATCAAGGTAGGAGGAGAGGAAAAGCTGCGGGGCCGCTTTCTGGTGCTCTCCAGATGGTCTCCGCTCCCTTCTCTGCCTCGCCGTCATCTGGGATCGCTCGGGCGGATGAAACTCGGGGCGGGAAAAGTTGACGGTGGGCCGGGAGACCGTCCCCCGGTTTGGCTCGCGGGAGGAAGACCGAGAAGCTTGAAAAGGGAGGCAGCGATTCCGCTGCTAAGCCTTATTCCGCTGTGCGAGGATGGCACGTTAGGATTAGGGTTGTCAGAAGAGGAAAGGCAATTGTGCCTCACCTTTTTCCTTGACCTTCCTTGTGATTTTGTTTCCAACGGAGACAAAACGAGAAATTCAGTATGACTTGGGCAAATGAAGACTGACAGGATGACATAATAGGCAAAATTACCTCATGCAGTGGTTCTCGGCCTTTTTTCCACCGATAGTGCCTTGAGGGGGGGGGGGGGGGGGGGGGCGTTCCATTACCTGTCAATGTATTTTCCCCAAGAATGCACAGCAGCAGTGGGTTGAATGACTGGATAAAAAGGGGATTTATAAGGACTCAACAACCTAAGAAAATTGTTTCTTGTCAAAACTGTATAGGAATAGATGTAAGAGGAAGATACTTAATATATTGAATGACTCCTCTCATCTGGGACATCAGCTCTTTGAACTATTACCATCGAGAAGGAGATTTAGGGTATTAAGAACAAAGACGACCAGATTTAAGAACAGTTTTTATCCAAGTGCAGTTTTGAGTTTGAATGCAGGGTCATAAGATTTTTGTGGAATTTAAATGGCTGAGAGTAATGGGGTATTTATATTTTTAAATTGCATAGAGATTATTGTATGGTTGGTTGTGTTTAGTTCAATTTTTTTTTTCTTTTAGTGGTGTTTGTCCAGTTTTACTTTGTGGAAGAGCACCTCATTTCGTTGCACCCGCTAGCGAGTGTAATGACAAATAAATTCTTATGTCTTATATCTTAAAAGACAACGTTTTGCAATTACAAATTCAGTCAAAGGTATTAATAGATCAGCAATTTACAATGTTTAGAATGTGCTATTATGTACTATTTGTTTTTATTTAATTTATATAGTTGCCCATCTCACATACATGACTCTTAAGTGGCTCATAAAATTTACATATTCTAACCACAGTGGCCTTGTCAATTCCTGATAAGATCACTGCATTGTGCTCTAATGGAGTTGCCTTGAAACTATTCAAAACTTCTGCTGGTTCAAAATACAGCAGGTTATTTGTTGGCAGGAAGAACTTGAGAGTCTGATGTAAACCCAACACTGCAGGCTCTGCATTGGCTACAGTTAGACTTTTGGGTACAATTCAGAATGCTAATTTAATCTGTCTTTGTATCCTGGTAGATGCAGGAACACCTACTTTAATTAAATCCTACCCATTAAGTTGGGATGCTGAAGTTTCCTCTGCCACAGATGTTCTGGATAGCCTCTTACCAGAATTCCAGACAATTCCATCATTTGAGATTTTTAGAAAAATATTAAAAATGTAAAACATTAATAGAAATTATATTGAAAATATGTTTTTATTTAGACAGGTACTATAAATATGCTATCATCACTTGTCCATTTGAAGTTTGCATTGGTTGATTGGTATATATGTATGTATGGTCTTACTCTTATTCACCTTTCTTCATTTCCCACCTCTAGATCCAGCTCTGGGATACAGCAGGACAGGAACGTTTTAGGAAGAGCATGGTGCAGCATTATTACAGGAACGTACATGCAGTTGTGTTTGTATATGATATGACAAATATTGCTAGCTTTCACAGTTTGCCACTGTGGATTGAAGAGTGCAAGCAACACTTGCTCACCAATGAAATACCCCGGATTTTGGTTGGAAACAAATGCGATCTAAGGAATGCAATTCAGGTGCCTACAGACGTGGCTCAGAAATTTGCTGACACTCATGGTATGCCACTGTTTGAAACTTCTGCTAAAAATCCAAATGACAATGATCATGTGGAAGCCATATTTATGACATTGGCTCATAAGCTAAAAAGCCACAAACCACTCATGCTTAGTCAGTTACCAGATAATACAATTCACTTGAAACCAGCATCAAAACCTATTATGACATGTTGGTGTTAACTTACAGTATATTTGCATTCAACGTTGTATTCTCTTTGCCAGTGCTTTAAGAATGTGCAATGTTTTGATTTAATAAGAATTATCTTCTGCTGTGCACTTTATTCAGTCATTTTATATGTAGACGTTTAGTATGTGCACTTGGTAAGCTGTAGCATCTAAGTAATGATAATGTTTAGGGAATTATTTTTGTTTTTAGGGAATTTTTTAATCTGTACAAATAGATTGTTTTACAGAAAAATTGGCCTCTTAGCTTTGAGAGCTTTTCTCCAACACAGTGTGGATATTTTAAAAATGTATTAAGTCAGATCTCTTCCTTTATTGTTCAGTGTAAGAATACTATTTTTCTATGGAGGCCCAAAAATCAGTTTAAAACTATAATCCTAATTATTTAGTACAGTTTTATGAAAATACAATGGAAGAAAGGCACAATATGAATAAAATATTAGAAATCTTTGCCCTTAATTTCTTTCCATTTACATTTTTAAGTTCATTAATTTTAGAAATAAATTATGTACACAGTGACTTTTTTCTATTTTAATTTATGATTGTATTGCTTTTATTGAATATTCTGAAAACTGTGTGTGTGCGTGAATAAATGATCTTTATTCTCATAGTTCTATATAATAGTTACAGTTTTCAAAGTAAGAGGAAAAGAATATGAATCTCTTGCATATTATTGGAAATAATACTGAAAATTGCAGCTTATTTTTCTTATAAAATGGTTACATTAATCTAGAGACACAGCTAGTAGTAGGGATTCCATTAGGTACAACAAAGGTTTTAATTAGACCATTCAACTTTGCTTGACTGGCCATTTGCCTTTTCTTTTTCCATACCTTCTCACAAAACTGGAAGCTAGAAGAATGAAGGAAAAAGTAAGCAATCAACACAATCCAAACTTTGAAAAAGCCTTAAATCACTATCTTTTCTCTATTTAATAGACTGGGTATTACAAGGTTTTTGCAGTATTAGCCTAGTGGTAGACATATTATGTACATCCTCCTAACAAGCCAAAACATGAGCCTTGATTTGAAGATGAAAAACTAGACTTTGAAATTAAAGGATTTAACATTGCAAAATCCATAGCACATTTAATGAATCATAAACAAGTGCTAGCCAATATTGTCTGGTTTCCTTCCATTTATTTTAAAATAGTTGAAATATCAACATAATACAAAGATACTCCTGCTTATATCATTTAATAATTAAAATATAGAAGGAACAACATAAAATGGGGAAAAAATAAAGTTAGGTAAAATGGGTGCTCAGAAATTGCTGAAAGGGCTCTTTAAAATCTTTATGTTATTGTTTTAAGGGGTTTCAATGATTTTGCACATAAAATCATTTGCGCTCCTAGCTTAGCAAATATTGAAGACATAAGCAGGCCATCTGATGATCATTGCAAAAGTTGCACAACTTTAAAGTCTTTATTTTGGCAGGCAGAGATCATGGTGCATACTTTCAGCTCAATGCTTAAGCAAAGCTTTAGATTTTTTATATAGGTCATAAGTAAACATCAACAACTTTCTGTTAAAGTAGTCATTTGTATAAGTGTTTATTGGTTAGCTAGATTTATTGATGTATATTTTGGTACAGTCATAAAATAGTTCTAGGAAAAAGACATTCTCTTTTGGATGAAATCCAACAATGGCCAGACAATTTCTTGCCTGGCTATAGCTGTTCCTAAACTTCAGTAGGCTTGTACAGGACATGTTGCGCAAATGAAAGGTCCAACTCATTTCAACCACTGTACTAGACACTACTGTTCTTTGTAGGAATATACAATTGGATTTCATTGTTGTTTATGATACCTCATTAACACACTGTGCTTGACTCCTAGGAAAACAAAAAACCACTTATACATGATTTTCATTTGTACTTTAATTCAAAAGGAAAACCAAAACAGCTAATAATGTTTTATTAATTGTAAGTGAATTGTGTAGGGATTTATTCCTGTCCATTCAATATGTTTAATGGGTATTATATTTAAACTTAATAGAACTGATGTTCCGTTTGTCCTGTGTGTTCAATTTTGGGTTAATGTTTTGGGAGCAAAAGCCATGAGACTAAGGGATTTTAATAAAAGAAAATGGTATCAGTGTTATTTATTAATGCCCAGAAGAACGGCCTAATTATCACTAACTTGTAATGTGTTTTCCTCAAAAATGAAAATTCTTAAAAGTATTTATCTTTTGTATTCATTACGGTAACTGCAAAAAGTTAAATATAGTTATTATACTATTATGTAAATATCAAATTGTATGTATTCTATTGCAAGTTAATATACTGTTGTATAAGATTGTAACATTTTCGATTAAAAATATGTTGATTGCACCTTAAAACAGAATAAAATACAGAGAATGCAGTACACTTGCATGGTTGGCCAAATGTATAAAGGGATTGTGTTCAGAATTTTTACATTTCCGCCCCCCCGTCATTTGTGTGTTGTTTATTTGCATAGCAAATATGGAAGGCTTTTTATGCTTGAAATAAGGGATTTTTGTAATCACTTTAAGTCTTAATTATAGTTTTGATTTACATACTGTCCATGAATAATCTTAAGAGCTTTATTTAATGAAATGTTCTTAAAATATTTGTCGAATGAGATTACACTTTTGAGAATTTACCTGCTTACTTCATATGAATAATCCATGTTTTTTTTAAACTTTAGAAGATTCACTAATGATGTAAGAGCTTCATTACCTCTTATTAGTAAAAAAACTTTGAAATTGTTACTTTGAATTAATATAAATAACAGTATCATAATATTGATACAGTTCTGCTTTATAGCATTGTTTCAGCACAATTTATTTTTATAGGATTACCATACAGATAACTATTTTTAATGCAAAGTGCTTTTTAGTTTATTTTTTCTCTAATATAATTTGTTTTACCTTCCTTTTCAAATGAAGGATCATCTGTCAAACTAGTACAGCATTTTAAATGAATAAATGCTACCAAATAAAGTTCCTTTTCTGTAGTCTGTTTTCACAATGTTTGATTGCAAATAAACGGAGTTTGTTACATTACTAGTGAACACAGATAGTCCTTGACTTACGATCACAATTGAGCCCAAAAGTTATGTTGCTAAGTGAGAAATTTGTCAAGTGAATTTTGTCCCATTTTATGAGTCTTCTTGACACATTTGTTAAGTGAATCCCTGCAGTTGTTAAATAAGTAACACAGTTGTTAAGTGAATCTGGCTTTCCCATTGACTTTGCATGTCAACAGGTCACAAAAGGGAATCACATGACGCTGAGACACTGCCACACAGGGGTGGGATCCGACCGGTGTAACTACCGGTTCGGTGATTTTATGTTTTGCGTCATAAGTCACTTTTTTCAGTGATGTAACTTCGGACAGTTATTAAATGTTGTAAATCGAGGACCACCTGTGTTAGAGATTATCTTGAACTTTCCATCCTTGAAATGACTGTCTTAGATCTCTCTATGAATGATAAATGGCGTTTGGTTTTTTTTAGGACTTTGTTTTGAGTTTGGAACAAAATTTAGCTGTTTCAAAAAGCTTGCAACTGGGTTGCTTTTTCTTTTTTAAATCAGATTTTCCAGCCTAATCATTATAAAGCAGCGATTACATCTCTGCTACTCATATTTGTACCAGGCCTGTGCAACTTGTAGATTGGGAATGGCCACATGATAAATTGCAAAAACCCCATAGGCTACAAAGAAATACCTGGCACACCAAATAACTATCCAATCAACTATGTGGCAACTTGCACAGCACATGTGGAGTGGCAGCACTGAAGTTGGCATGGTTAAGGTTTGTAGGTGCTTGGCAGCTCCTCATTTAATTTTTGTTGAATTTTCAACATACAGGTTAAAATAACAATTGAAAACATGCTTTGTATATTAGTGAGTTGCCCATCCTTTTGCAGCTGAGACAGTTTTGCTGTGTGTGTACAAGTATGCATACATATGTATACATAACATCTCTTTGCCTGCTGTAAGCTTTTTAGAGTACATTTGCTAGGCTGATTGTCAAGCAAGATATTTTGTTCATTTTTCCCCTAATTTTTTACTCTGTGCAATAAGGTTAATAATGCTTTATAAATTAACAACAGAAAAATCTTCATAGTGAAGAGCATAATTTGTATTAGCTGAGTGGGTTTTGTTTTTTCTGAGGACTTGATTTCCTGCTTCTGGGCCTCTTTGAACTTCTAAGGAGGCACTAACGAAAAAAATTGGAGTAGTCACTGATTTCTGTGTCTCAGCTAAGTGCCTCAAGCAATTAAAAACATCTTACTGCTGCAAACCAGAGAAAGAAAGTTATATCCCATGAGGTTTGTTTTTTTTTTTAAAAAAGACTCCAAACTGTTTTTAAAATTGGCTGGTAGCAGTCAGCATTGATTTCACCTGCTCTTGTGCTGCCAGAGTGACAAGTAAGGGCCTAATATCCAGTTCCTCTGTCATATGTAATGTCCTTAGAGCTTAGTCCTCTTCCCCTACAATGGTCTTAAAACACAACAATCTTAAATATCTCCAGTCTCCTGTGAAGGGATGTTCCAGAAAAGCTAGGAGAGGCAGGCAGTATTTAAGACTGGCTTGCCATATGTCAGGTCTTGGATGGAGTACCTCCAAGGAGACCCAAAGACTGAGTCTTATACTTTCTCTCTCAAGAACACTTCTTTCACAACAGCTGTTTACATGTTCTTCTCAGAGAAGAAATGCTGCTACTTTGCTTTGAAAACTGCTGGGCATGGGAGACTATTCAATACACATGTGCTCAAAGAGTTTTGGTGGCCAAGACAAATGTCAAGTACTTGTCATCTGTCAGATCTGTTGAGAGGCTAGGACAATTTTTCTGGATTTTATGTCACCACATATTACAAAGATACACAATCATTTGGGTATCATGGATCTATTTACCAAGAAGATTCATTTGTTTCTTGCAAGAGGCTGCGACACTCAGGAGATTGCACAGCTTGTTCTAGACCCCCTGTTTTTATACAAACTAGTCAGTGCTACCACTGCCACCAAGGAGTGCCAATGTGCTCAGGATAGGCAAAAGGGCAAAAATTGAGGGGCGGGGGAGATAGGTGTATGGTAGGAGGTTCAAAAGGAGGGCAGTCCCTTATCAAGGCTCGGGATTGGAAACAATGAAGCCAAGAATGGCTTGGTTCGGGATTGGTCCTTGCATGAAATTGGATAAACAATGGCAATGGGGACTGTATTGCTATCGCTAAGCAATGTGGTCATGTGTTGTTTCACTTAATATAATTTGTTCCCAATTACCATCATAACCCAAGGACCACCAGTAAACCAAATGGCTGCCTCTTGCAGAATTTGCCTCCAACAAGCCCTCTTCCATCTGAAATTCCCACAAAAGCCCCATTCCTAGGAACATTGCCAGACAACGACCTCCAGAACAGAGATTCTTTGCTTACTGACACTTAGGGCCTCCAATGGGAAGGGGACACTTTTCAGCTTCATCTAGCTCAACTTTTTCCAATCTAGGCATCTGAAATTTGCAGATTTTAGCACCCAAAATGTTAGCAATAGTAAAATTAAGAAACATCAATCTAGGTTTTCCATACCAGAGTTGCCAAGTTGGAGAGCTTTTTGTAAGCTCTCTGCTGAAAAAGAAAGGAAGCTTGCCATAGAATCTGCTTTCTGATTTTGCAGCCAATTTTCAGTACAGAAAATAAATTATCTGGGAAGGCATCTTCAAAGGATCAGTGTTTCTAACTCAAGAAAGTTAAATACAATTTTTATTCACATTTAATAAAACATGTAATAAAACATTTTTATACATAAGTAAATTCATATATTTGAAGGTATACATGTAGACAAATGGATGGATAAATAAACAATAATGTTAACACCCCTATTTTTAGGATCTGTGAAGAGAGTATTTTTCAATTTCTTTAATAATTGTACACATTTAATACTTTTTTTTAATTATAAAGGATCTGTTCATTAAATCCTTGTAGAATTTGTTTCTAAGTCAGCCTGATGTATGGAGGAGGGTCACTTATTTCATAATCTGTTTCTATATATGGTTGAGGAACTTTTACTGGACAATTAAAAATTCTGTCCTCTTGATCTGTAATGAAAGAATCACATATAACCAAGTCAAACATTTCTTACATTTTTTATATAATTTAACACTGAAGTTCTAAAAAGAAGAAGACCCTACGTACCACGTGAAAGGCAGACTAATTCTGTAGTTTGTAACTGGTCTTCATTATTTTTTAGATGCTCCTAAGAATGAGAATGTGAAAATATTAAAATAGGCTTGCATATGGATCAAACTGATATCAGAATTTAGCCATAAATTATTATACACTTCACTCAATAAAAAAGTAGCTGAACATTATGCTGTAATAAAACTAAGATTCAAAATAAAATAGGAATCATATACAAGCTATTGCTAATCTTTAAAGATCTTAAACATGAAGCCTAATAAAATTATACAAAGAAGAAATATTCGGGTTAGCCTATCAGTTTTGGAATGTAAGATAGAATCTATTTAGAAGGTTTTCAGGGCAAAATGTTATTTGCTCAGGTATTTTAAATATATGTATTTGGCTATGCCATTGTGCAATTGCACACAATCCTAAAATTAGACGATATTGCACATATTTAAAAAACCCCTATTTTATCTATTGGAATAGACAGCTTTACCAACTCACTTGGGGATTGCAGAAAAACATGCAACCTTGAGGTCAGTTAGCAACTTGAAGGATCTCCCCAACTTTTGAACTTATTTATTCCAGTTTTAACTGCCTCTTATGTGGGTTTTATGTTTAATTGGACACCATACATGGTTGCTCTGTGACTGTGATATGTGAGCAAATAAATATATATCACATTTCACATCATATGTAATTACTTTACAGATAGCCTATCGCTACAATTAATCAAAAGAGTATTTTTGTAAACCATTCTTATGAAAAATCTGATAACAAGCTATGCAAAAGAATTCATTCCAGAAAAGGAATGCACAATGAAACAATAAGGAACATTGTTTGAATCATGTACGCAAGCTTCTATTTACAGGAAACTGCAAGATATCCAATAAAATGGCATGCTTGGAATTGAATTAGGTCTTTTTAAACAACAAACCTTAAAATCAAAATTGTAATTATTTTTTCTAAACATAAATAGCTAATGAAAAAAATGTATCTTGCACACACAGAGGAAAAATAAACTTCTTTTTATATATGTATTATCCATTGTTTGGAAAGGTCACAATAATTTATAGGGGATAGAAGCTTTCTCCATCTAAGGACAGATTGAAATCTATGGTTGTTTAATTTGAATGATGCTACAATGTGATGCATTCATGACTGAACACACCCTCCTTAATGATGTTGCTACTTACAAGTCCAGTGATACTGTCATAGCAAGAACAACATGGAAGACTTCGGCAGCTGACATACACAATCACCAGCACAATAAATATACTAAAAAATGATGAAATCATCATTGTGATGTTAGCTCCTTGAACCAGTTTACCAAGCACCAATACCTACAGTTCAAAATAAAGAAAATTCACATACATGTTTTATCAAAATAAAAGGAAACAATACAAGTATTCCAGATATTTATTTAAGCTCTGGGTCTGGGACATCTTTATCACATTCCTTCCTCAGACTTTTCAAGGTTTCTCACCACTCTCACTAAGATTTGGGAATGTGTGGCAGAGTGGGAATCTTTTCTACTAATGCTGTGAAAACTACAGAATGCATGAAATGGATATATCCGAAATTCTTAGATGCCTTTTCTTTAAATAAAAAATACCTTTAGTAAAAGTATTACAGTTGTTTTTTTTTTGTTAAACTTAAAAAAAATGCCTTTAGTCAAGGAATTAAAAGTTTTCAAGCAGGCTGAATCCCCATCTATTGCAGATGGACTATTTGAATTTCATTCTGGTCATGAGTCATACCAGTTGCTAAGCGGAACATCAAATGACCATGCCCAATTTTATAATCTGTTTTGCAGTAGTGAACACTGCAATCATTAAGTAAACCAATTGTCCACAATGGGCATTTTTTTTTTGCTGGAAACTGGAACTAAATGCTGGTTTCAGCAAAAAATATACATTGCATAATGTAACCTCAGTATGCTTCAAACTGGGCCAGTTGTTAAGTGCTCAAAATATAATCACATGAGTGTGTGTGTGGTGGGAGAAATGACTGGCCATTAGAACTTCAAATTCAGGTTATAAGTAGTCCTGAGAAAGTCCATCATAACTTTGTTGCTTAGTGAATTGTTGCTTAATGACAGGGCATAAGTCAAGGACATTATGGGTTGTTAGCATTGCCTTCAGTTGTGCTCTATGTGCCTGAATTCTCAGAATTCACATCTATCCTGCAAGCTTTATATTTAATTCTGTCTAAATCACTCTTGATGGATAGAGACAATTAGATACAGCTTCTTATTTATTATGCAATTAATAGAGGAGAGTGGAGAAAGACACGTTATAACTACAGGTAATCCTCAACCTATGACTTTATTTAAGCCCAGAATTACAGTCATAAGTTATGCTGGTCGTTAAGCAGGTCATCATGTGATCACATTTGATTTTATGACCTTTTTGTGGTGATCATTAAGCAAATCCATTGTTTGTAATGGTCGCTTTTTTGCTAGAAACTAAAAATATACATCATTTTCCAGCAAAAAATGTTCTAAAACGTAGTCATTGGACCACAAGCTGCTGCAAACAATCATAAATGCAATCACATGACTGAGGCAGCATTTGTCAGAACTTAAAATCTGGGTTATAAGTAACCCTGGGGAAGTCCACTGTAATTTTGAACAGTTATTAAGTGATGGTCATAAGTTGAAGAGTACCTGTCCTTTCTACCATTTGGTAGCATAACATAATGCTAATGTATGGATTTGCATTGTAAACTGCAGATTTTAAAGGAGACCTTCCAAACTAATGCCTTCCAAATAGATTTCATTATTTATCATGCACTAGCTGTGCATTACAGGATCACTAGTTCAGATAATCTAAAGCAGGCATGTCAGACCACGCCCACCCTGGCTTTACAAAGGCAAAAAACATCCCGATATGTTGCAATATGGCCTGATACATCACGATACAGCCCATGACGCAATTGGATTTGATACCCCTGATTTAAAGGAACCAGAGTAAGACTAGGTATTAATCTTCGCATTCAGATTGGCGCTAGGAGCATGAATTAAAATACGAAAGAACAGAAATTTAATGGAGAATACTGGACACAAAATATACTACTTACAATAGTTGGGTGGTTAGAGGATACATAATTAGACTCCGCATGTTTTTCACCATACTCTAATGTCATAGAGGCATAAATTATTACAGTTAAAGTGGTGAAACAGGAAAATACTGAAGCAATTATCGTGGCATTCACCTGTATAAGGAATACAGAAAACTTAATATTTGATTTGATTTATTTATTTTCCTCAAGGAAGACAAAATGTATCTTCACACTATAACTGAATATCCCCATATGAATCAATGCATTTGATTCTATGTGAAAATATACAAAGGAATTAAATCTAAAGTTGTTTTAAAAAATGTTAACCACTAAACCACATATTAAAAAAATGAAAAGAAAATTATTTTATTTTGTATTTTATATTTTATATAATAAAATAAAAAAAGTAAAAGATAAACCACCTACCAAAAATAAATGCTAAATAGCTTTTCACCCAGTCCCAGGAGGAGGGAGAGTAAGACTTCCTGCTTCATTGTATATGCCATTTTTTATCTTTATCTTTTAAATCTTAGTGATTTGATTGTAATTTCTTTGATTGTTGTGAGTTACCCAGAATCATTAAGAATTGGCTGGCATACAAGTTTAATAAATTACTGATATTGTTATTGTTGTCATTGTTATTATTATTGTTGTTGTTGTTGTTAAAGTTATTAAAATTATAACACATTCATTGTGTTTTGAAATCTGCTCTTAAACAATATTTTTAAAAACCCACCCAGAACTCACCAGAATTGGATTCTTCCTCTGAGATGAATTTAAAGCCAAAATTCCAGGAATGCTCATAAACTAAAACACAGAAAGCCCAAGGATAGGGTAAGGGACTTAGCAAAAACAAAAAACATAAATGTAAAGTAGTATTATGGTTACATTTAATATCAAAAAAGTCGATCTTTAGTTCCCCCAAAATATAATCAGCCAGAGACATTTTTTATAAGCTATTATATACAATGATGAAAAGTTCTAATTTTTTTTTTTACTTAGCCCTTCAAAGTTCTCTTTCACCCATAGAGCCTATTTTATCCGCAAAGGCAACTACAGACAATTTCCGTATTTAGAATTATGTATATCCCTCTTGGTTGGTTGGAAGAGGAAATTCCATGGATAGAGGTCCCCCGACGCCCTTCTTTGGCCAGAAGTTAAGAGGGGTCATGCCTGGTTAATAATCTGGTTGGATGGGACTGCTTCAAGATAGATTGGAAATTGGAAAAAAAAATATGTTGTAGAAGCTAACCAAAAAAAAGAGAGATTTCCATATTGTTGCCAAGAAAATTTCATAGCCATGTAAATTAATTCTCTAGGAGTCAAAGCTTGATTCAAAAGAAGCTTTACCCTTTTATATAAGATACTATTGTTAAAAATCAGATACTGTGATGAATTGCAGCAAACCTTATTAGTCTCCTGTCCTAATTTTAAGCTGCTGTTTTACATTTAAGGAGCTGGGGAAAATGATAAGCTAAATGGAGTCAGGAAAATACCTTAAGATCGCAGACTAGGACTAGAGGTAGTCAGTGAACTAAGACACAAATACCGACCTTAAAGATATGTGCTGATGAATCAAATTATCTTTGCTGACACTGAGAAATAATACTATTTTCTGATGCCCATTCAGAGCTCACTTTTCATATAGGGTGCAGAAATAAAAAAAAATAGGAAGTTATTTCAATGGGCAATTCCAACAGCTGAAATGTGGCAGACACCACACTCCACTTTAGCTGCCAGAGTGTTGCTAATAGGAGACAATGGGATAGTTTGAAAAGGATTTTGAATAGGTTCGTGGAGGATCAGACTGTCATTTTTATTGCTGTTTGCTCCCTCTGTACTATAAGCAAAATGCCATAATTGTTGGAAAGCAGTAGTGGGAGGGATCCTTCACAGTCCTGTCTAAGATCCCCAAATGTATTCAAAGGGCCATTCTGTGGCACAACATTCAAGACCAGATGGCCCTAGAACTGGATTCAATAGAGCTTTTTACACATATGATCTCTCTCTCTTTTTTAATCAATTACTTAAAAAGGCATCTTTAGATGAATGAATTCAGTAATGTAGGCAACAAGGTTATTGGACACAGATGTTGGTATAAGAATCCAGTATTGAGAAACATCAGAAATCCCAGAATCCTACTTGGCAAGATCTGTATTACATAAGAAACTCTAAAAATCCAATTTTTTTAGTTGTCACCATGAAACGCTATGTACCTAGTTATACTTCTTACTATGAAATCTAGGCCTTATTTGCCTGAATGTGAAGTAAGAAACAGCAAGTCCCCTGGAACTTACAATACATTCTTAATACATTCTGGAAAGAAGGATAGAAAATGTAGCTTACCACTCCAGCCCAAATGGGTATCTTAGATTTACTCAATTCTGATTCCTTTCTGAAAACACCATCTATTAATCCACTGATGACACAAACTGTAGCACAAGCTATCTGAAGTAGCCCTAATATCAACATGCTTCTCTGGTTGAAGATGAAATATCTGTAGCGATCCATTCTACTGTATACAAATACACACATGTATTCAAGTCAGAAAGAAGCACAGAGATTATTGAAAATAAGACAGCCCTATAACATGTCCTGAACAGAAGATGCTTGCAAAATGTCCATTAGCATTTCTGCAAACTTTAGGTGACACACTATTTCTAAAATGAACAAACTGGATTGCTTTATACTAAAGCAAAACAAAAAAAAATAAGCAATTTTGTCAAATTTCTTTGAATTTTATTGTGCATGATTCTATTCTTCATATATTTTTCACAAAGTGTAATGTTATGTGATGGCATTCCTTAGTAATGGCAATTCTGGCAGTTCCCATTGTCATTGTTAAATGAGAATCATGGGTCATTAAACAAGGATCTCATGTGACCATAATTTGTGACTTTCATCTAGTTTCCAATGAGCAAAATCAGTGGGGAAGCCAGCAGGAAGTTGCAAGCTTTGGTTACCACAAACCTTTCCATAGGCGTGAAGTGAATCCAGCTTTCCCCATTGACTTTATTAAGGAAGGTCACAAATGGCTATCATTTAACTCCAGGGTGCTAAATCTGTTGTAAATACATACTGGTTGCTAAGCACCCAAATGTTGGTCATATGACTGTGGGGTTGCTGCATCGGTTGTAAGTGCAAAGACTAGTTATAAGTCACTTCTTTCAGTGCCATTGTAACTTCAAACAGTTAGACTTATCCTTAGACTTAGAATAACTTTTTTTGTCACTTTAAATGTACACTAATCGGCATACATTAAAATAAAATTTTGTTGCATACAACTCTCAGAGGGTCCTGTCTTCCAATATACACTACATAAACATGACACAAATATAAACAAACAAACAAATATGCATATACCGACATATATTATATGACTCAGAGAAACAAGTCATGGTGAGAAAAATGACTCTTGAGAGTTTGTCAGATGGATGGCATAGGGAACAAAACTGTTACAGAATCTGGTAGTCCTGCTAGAAATACTTCGAAACCTCAACAGAAACTCACTGTAAAGTGGGTATGTGGGGTCTCTAACAATGCTTTGAGCTCTAAGCACATAGCGCTTATAAGCAGTATCCTGAATAACGGGAAGTGAGCTTCCTATACTCTTCTCAGCTGTCCTTACCACTCTCTGTATGTACTTTCTATCTGAGACACTGCTATCACCAAGCCAAACAGTGCTGTTTGTTAAAACACTCTCAATCATGCCTCTGTAAAAAGTGGTTGAGGCAGAAGGAGAAAGATACGTTCTCCACATCTGATGCAGGAATGCAGATCTGGTTTGCATGCTTCACTAAGGTTGACATGTAGAGAGATCAATTCAGATTGTTAGTTATCTGCACCCCCAGATACTTAATACTGTTGATCGCCTCTACAGCTGCATCATTGATACTGAGTGGAGTATGACTATGCTAGCTAAACCAGTTCTAAACAAATGGTTGTAAATTAATGAATACCTGTATTATAAACTGAGGACATAGAGCTGTATAAAGCAATGCTTTGGACAAACCCAGTATCATGGAAACAAGGACTTAAATTCAAATATTTAGGTTGTGCTGCTAATGTTGTATGTCAACAAGAATGAAATATCTCAAAGTAGCCAGGTAATTCTTCTCCGGTCAGCCATAAAGTATTTTCTGAAAGAATTTGGGAAGGTTAAAATAACCAGCAATCAGAAGCTCCGTATAGAAGACCAAACAAAAGTGTGTGAGACAAAACGGCAAAATATTTTAATGCTGGAAAAGCAGAGAAGGACACTTCTCATCTCTCAAGCACATATTTGATTTGTCATAGGCAATATTCAAAATTGAACTTACCTCTGAACGTTCTCCTTTCTTCCACTGTGCTAACAAAGAAAAGGCACAATTACAGGAAGTTGGGGAAAAACAGACACCACAAAGCCTTTACACCTCCTGCCAAAGCAAAAGAGAAACTCAGCTAGACCTCATGGGGTGGGAACAAGGTGTGTGTGCTCAGCATTGCCTTACCTCAGACAGGTGTAAGATTCTTACTCAAAAAAAGCTTGAGAAGTCCACCAGCCTGGGCCAGCAGTTAACAGTCCGGTGGGAATGACTTGGTCATCCAGGGACTGGTCTGGCTCCCAAGCCCCACTCTTTTCTTCCTGCAATCAGAATAAAATCTTGCTCCACCCACCTAATGCGTTTACCTGCCCTTCCCTTTTGCAGGTCATACTTTTTCTTGTTGCCTTTCCTTCTATCTCTGAATTTAACCCATTGCATACAATAAAAAAATGAATTTCCTGTAGAAGTTTGGAGCTTAATCTGTTAAGAAGTATTTAGTAATTCTCCATCCTCCCAGCGTACAGCTATTTAACTGGAGAAAGACATTGCTGAGTAAACAGCTACCAGGGCTTCCCATAAAGAATTCTCACATTTTGCATGTGGAGAGAGATTAGTCTTCCTGATTCTTATGCCCTCTGGTTAAGTTGATGTACAACGCCCAATATCCTAGGCAGTTTAACTATTTTAGCGATAAAGGTTAACAGAATCTGTGCTCTGAAACTTATTTTATGACACAAGACCCCCCAATTCTGATGTAAAGTAACATGCAGGACAACAGGGTTTATCACATCTTAATATTTCAGCTTGAAATTTTAAATGACTCAGCAAGAAATGCTTTTTTTCTCATTTGGTGCACACTGCTTGTATTGCAATGTTTCCCATCAGAGTTCAAATGTAGAATCTTGCCCTGATGCAACATCTGTGCAGGAGGTTGGCCTTTGGAAATGTACTGTTCCATGTAAACATAACAAGCAGGGAGAAAAAGGTGTGGAAATACAAAGGAGAGGTAATTTGCACATCATCCTCTATTTTGTAAAGATGAATACATGTATATGTTCTCCCACAATACGGTGAGAATAATTATTTAGAAAGTTATTATGCGAGTTCTGAAGCCCTAAGAGGGTATTCATGAAGGTAGAAACTGGCAATGTGAACTCTCCTTTGAATCAAGAGTAGAGAAAATATAGGTAGTTCTCAAGTTACAACCACAATTGATCCCAAAATTTCTGTTGCTAACATTTGTTAAGTGAGTTTTGCCCCATTTTATGACCTTTCTTGCCCTAGTTGTTGAGTGAATTACTGCAGTTGTTCAGTTAGTAACTCAGTTGTTAAATGAATCCAACTTCCTCATTGACTTTGCTTGTGAGAAGGTTGCAGAAGGGAATCACATGACCCTGGGATACTGCAACCGTCATAGATATGAACCAGTTGCCAGAGGTCTGAATTTTGATCAAGTGACCATGAGGCTCCTGCAATGGTTGTAAGTATAAAAAACGGTCACAAGCCACTTCTTTCAGTGCCGTTGTAACTTTGAACAGTCACTAAACTAGCTGTTGTTAAGTCAAGGACTATGTGTATATCTGGATTCTGAAAAAGAAACTTGGAGACTGGTAGCAGCAGGAGTCATTTTTCTGGAAATGGCTATAAATGGAGGAAAGTCTATCGTCAACATGCAGGATGCAATGGGGTTATTCTTTGAGAATTTCCAAATATGGGTACAGAACTATGATGAAGTTGAAGGTAATATCTTAACTATGGTCTGTGGCCACAACCTGTTGTTGGCTTAATAGCTTTAGTTTCCCATAGCATATAAACTGCAAACAGAAGTAAGAAACGGATCTAGGCACTATTTGGGGGGGACCAGGGGGAAGTAGCATTTTTGCTTCTGCAGTTTGCTTTCTATTACCTCCTGAATATATGCAAGATATTCCTTTCAAAAATTGGGGAGTTGGGAGAGTTATTGGCCTCCCTACCACTTGCTTCATATAGTGGTTCCAATCCTATTAGGTTCACCTGCACCTGAAGATCCTTTCCATCACAAAAGATAAAGAGCAGAAAACTGCACCCTGAGTCACACACGTCACACACCATCTGGGAATCTTCTACATTATTTGGAATACTCTGACGATTCCTGCTCTGGACAGGGTGATAACCTTTCCAACCATATGATTTGAAGAATTCATGATAAGTTTCTAATTCTGTGTAAGAGTCAGCTATGCTAAGATTCACTATATGTAGGCATTGGGAGGATTTTGCTGAGCTTGTTCAGTCTCTAATATAATTTGAGAGTTTATTATTAAGGTTCATTTTTAAGAAAAGTTTTGTTGAATGCTTTAAGATTCCAGGAATAGAACTCTATGCAGACAAAGATTAGACAATTAAGTAAAAATAGCAAATCAATATCTGAGAAACAGAGCAAAAGGGTTGGATTTGGATTATATAAACCCTATTCATCTCACTAAATTATGAGAGCAATGACATTTAAGCCATCAGTTGTTTATGATGTATCCCTACTTCTGTTGCTTAGACTGTATGTTTGCAAACAAATGATAATATTATCCATCACCAATAAACACTCCATGATTTTCCTCCTAAAGAAATGAAACTGAAGCGGCAAAAATATAGTGCTGGTAGAAGATTGAAGTTCCCATTGTTTGGAGAAAACAGAACTTAAATGGTCAGTTGATCATAACTGGCAGCACAAAAGACAAATTGACATGTTTTTTATATCAGCCAGATTTGGGTGACAAATATATTTTAATTTATAAACTCTGCAATATTTAGTATCTATCCAATTATCACTGTAAAAGTAACCAAGATTTGACCCTAACCTTGCATAGCAAGGCTTAAAGAGTTTGTCTGAAGGTAGAAAGAGAAGAATCTGGTTGTCTATCATAATAAATATCATAAATTAAACATCATAAGATACAGATAAAACACAACTACCAGTCAACTGTAGTCCCCACTTCATGGTGGAGGAACAGGAGTTGAGGAACATTCTGAGGGCTGTGGACCCTAGAAAGGCTGCTGGTCCTGACGGTATCTCTGGCCGAATGCTTAAAGACTGTCCTGATCAGTTGGCTGGGGTCTTTTTCTGAGAAGTCTACCTGAGACTTCTCAGAAAACACCATCTGAATGAAAAACTGCTGGTAACCTTCTACTGCTGCACCAGAGAGCATTTTAACATACTGCACCTCTGTATGGTTTGCCAATTGCACAGTGGCAGATAGGAAAGCACTCCAGAGGGTTAATGTCATTGCCCAGAAGATCATTGGTTGCCCTCTCCCCTCTTGGGAAGAGCTTTATAGCTCCCACTGCCTTAAGAAAGTTCAAAACATTCTCAAAGATCCATCTCATCCTGGGAACCCTTTTTTTGAACTATTACCATCTGGCAGATGGTACAGAATAATAAAAACAAGGTCAAATAGGCTGAAAAACAGCTTCTATCCCAGGGCAGTAGCTCTTTTGCATTCTGCTGTATAGTGCAGTGTTGGTGTGGTGTCAGGGGTTTCCAGTTCAATGTGTGAAGGGTGAAGGATGTGTGTTTGTGTTTATTTTCATGTTCATGGTCATGATGTGCACTGAAGATGGTGTTTGATTTCGTTGTACAAGGTGCAATGACAATAAACTAAACTAAACTAAATAACTAAAGACATGCTTTAATGTTGAAAGGAACCTAAAGGATTAGACAAAGAAGGGTCATGATAAATGACCTTAGAATTATATTGCACTACACATTCACCATAGCATGAATGTTTTTTAGTCTACTTTTTCAGCATTGTAGTTAACTTATCACCTATTTCCCCACTATGTAGGTCAAGGTAAATATTTTCATAGAAATAATCATTTTATATTGTAACAGCACTAAATAATTTTTCTTGAGTTGATTCAGAAATTGAAGATTCTGTATATGTCTTCGAGAATTATTTTTCTCAGAATCAATGATGTTTAATAACACATAACTAAATTTTAAAATACTGATAAAGGGCAAAAAGCTATAAAGCTAGCACAAAACAATACAATAAGATACATATTGAAATGGAGATTGGAACAGCATGAAAAATCTGCCCTTTTTTGCTTTTTATCAATGTCCAGGTTTGGCCAGACATAAACCAAGTTATAAATTTAATACTTACTATCATAGACAACATAAGAAATTGGACAAAAATTGTGTGAAGACAATTCGTGTAATGCTTTATTTTCACAATGCAGGATAAAGCAATTTCCCCTCAGAGACATTTTTCTATTTATTTCACAATGTGTTCAATGTGTTCAGTTTTTAGTAAACAATGTCAATAAATAAAGTACAATTATTTTTTTCTTTTACCCAAAGTTTTAGAAATCATAAGTAATACCTATGGATGTCGATAAGGTTCATCATCTTAGTAAAGTAGTTGTTTTAGGTCACAGAGTAATATTTAATATATTATTGAATGTTTTGTAAATACACAGACCTAACCCAACACAAAATAAATCTCATCTGAGGAGCAAAAGAATCATTCCACTCGGCTAAGGGGATTTTTTTCTAACTCAAGGAAATAGCTTCCTGCAAGAAGCTTACGTAAGTTACATATGGAAGTTTCACAGAAAGTTCAAAGAGAGAAAAACAGTAGTGAGAATGCAAAAAAAAATATTAAAAAATGAGGGGTCCTTGTGCTCTCTGAACTTGCTTGTTTTGTTGCAGACATTTCATTACCCAAATTAGGTGACATTATCATTGATGAGTAGATGAGTACTGAGGATGTTACCTACTTTGGGTAATGAAACATCTGCAAAAAACCAACCAAGCTCAGAGAGCCCCAAGGACCCCACATTCCAAACCCAAGCTACAATCAATCAGGTATTAAATTGAAATATCATATGCCCATTATATTAAATATTCAGTTAAAATACGGAGTCCCTCTGAACTGCATAGATTTCCCTATGACAATTATGTAAAACAGCAGTTTGTTTCTAAACAGCTAAATATTTCAATATTGAATATGCAAGTATTTAGATATAATTGTATAGTTTGAAACTACCAAAAAATGGCACAGCATGCCTATTAAAACTGAATGAAGATACAGAACCTGTATTTCAATGGATGCAAATTTTACACAAATAAGCACACAATGCATCAGATTCATTATCCGATGGCTTCCATATTTTTGATACTTAGTACATAAGATTTCTAGTTATCATCACTCACTGAGCATTTTGAACAAATGAAAATGGCTACAAGTTTGGGAAAATTCAACTGCAAATAACTTCTGTTGAACTCAGTGGGGACTGTAGAAAGAGGATTATTCACTAAATGATTTTGAGCACTATAAATCACTGCAAAGACTATGTGAATTAGAATGTAATGAACATGTTGAAATCTAAATTAGAATATAACGTACAATGGCAAATATCTACATTAAGAAGATGAAACCATTTTAATGTATTTAAAAAGTGTTGACCACAAGTGTTTTAAAAAAAACAAATCCATTTCACTACCATCCTTTGTAGTTTCAGAGGTTCACAGCATACAGTAATTATGATTGCTTGTCAGGATTTGATATAATTTTGCACCTGCAAAATCCTGCAAGCACACAGCATAAGCATGACAAATGGATATCTACATATCATGAAGATAGTGATCATATTAGTTCCCATGAATAAGTTTCCAAATATTTCTCAATTCATGGACAGTAACTATCTTTTCAACAATCCCCAATAACAGCTGTCTTGTGCTGATTTTAAATAGTCTACTGGTGGCAAGTGATGGGCATGCACTTTCTGGGTTAATTGCTTGGCTTGACCAGTACTATAAGATCGTTTTTAAGATATGAAACAGTTATGGAACAATAAAGACGACTTTGCTGCAGGCCAAACTCTGTGGTTCTCAAGGTGATGTTATCAATATCCATTTAAAATGTCCATTATTCTCTTGACGTAGAAATCAAATGCAGCTTTGTAAAAAGAAATGTTAGTAAAATTTCCCTTAGATAAACATATAAAGGACTGTATTCTTAATAATAAACTCTTAATAATATAAACTCTTAATAATAATAATGATAAAAATTTAGCTCTCTTGAATTGAATCTGGAAACCCACTGGCAACTAGCCTAGTTCATGAAGCAATGGTGTCGTAGGTGTCGAATTTCCGATACCATTTACTACTCCTGCACCTGCATTCTCCACTAGTTAAAGCTTCCTCAAGGACAGTCCCGTGTAGGGCCCCTTGCAATAATCCAGATAAGAGGTCACAAGGGCATCAGTGACTGTCAGCACCCTAAGTGTGCAAAGGCTCTACTAGTCACAGCTGCTGTAAGTAGGAGCCAAGGGTCCAAAAAGACCCCCTAGAGTATACACTGAGTCTCTTTGGGGAGATGCCACCTCATCCATATACTGACATGTGGGACCAAAGAAGAGATGTTGCCTAAATCTAATAACAAATCTATTTCCACCACCATCCCAGATCTTATGGCCCATATTTTTCTCTGTGCATTGCAGATTTCCCATTGGTAACGTTTAGTAGACTTTTCCTTGACATTTTACATGACCAGTTTCTATATGCCTTCTACTCTATGCAGTATCCTAGATTTAAATCCTTATGAGACTACAATATGTAGTTTCTAGCTTTGTTACTTACAATAAAATAGTAGTTTATTACTGTAATGCTAATTTATAATCTGAAGAATAGTTCAAAATTGTTACATAAATTACATAAACTATTTTGGCAGTAAAATGGTTCTTTTTAACCTGAAAATTAAAATATACATGGTATAAAGACTGTAATTAGGGACTCCAATATTACATATTTAAAATAGTGAAATAATCAAATCAGAGTTTCATCAACAGAATCTCCAGCCTGTTGATAAGAATAATATTCAGAGTCCTTTTTCTGCATTAAAAAACAAGCAATGTGATCCTCTACATTCAAAGAAGGTCCCACTGAGTTCAGTGGTATTTATTTTTAAATAAATAAGCACACTGCAAATAGACATTTCTACTTGTATAATACAGAGCAAATACTCTGCAAACATATATTGCACATATTTGAAAATCTGTTTAAGAAATGCCAGTAACTGGCTATCAGATCCCTGAAAGTTTACTTTTTTTCTCATGATATTATTAAATGTTAGCTAGGATTAGTAGTGCTTTCATGATTCCCATAAAACTGACAATCTCAAGTATAATTTGCTTCATAGTAAAAAGGTTGAGTTTTCCATGTAACCCTCTGAATTACTCTGCAGTTTTTTTTAAAAGGTTTGCAACGTAGGATTCCTCAACTACTTTCCTAGCTCTACAGAAATCTGCCTTTGACAAGTAGTGGCAGCTTCCAGGATTCTGTAAGTTACCAATTAAAGGCAAGAAAAAGATAAATTTAGCAAACAAGGAATTTCTTGGTATACTCTTTTCATTTGTTCTATACAAATTGACATTATGCTCTCCAGTGTAAGAAACCAAAAACAAGTAGTAGAAAATGCTCATATGTGTAAATAGAAGTCACTCAAATGTGATTATCATGATTAAAGTTATAGCAGCTCTGGTCTTCCAGGCACATATCCTCAGAGCCTTAAAAAACCGACATGTAGCACTTAGACTTATATACCACTTCACAGTGCTATACAGCTCTCTCTAGGTGGTTTATAGAGTCAGCATATTGCCCCAACAATCTGGGTCCTCATTTTACCAACCTTGACACTGTAGTTTAAACATTTGTGCTGACTTTAAGAAGACGATAATGTAAAGAGAGGTCTCTTGTGCACCCAAACAGAAAACGCCCTAAAGCAATATTCTGAAATTATGCTGCTTTTCTAGATACCAAACTTAGCACAATTCTATTAGCACCACAATATGGCAAATACAAAATGTAGTTGCGCAGAATCAGAGAAACCACAGTACGGATAAAACCTTGGTTTTAAAAACGCGCTCTTTCTATATTTTGACAGCTGCTGATGCAGACTAATTGCCAAAAAATAAATAAAAGGCCACTCTTCCTTGTGTAGCATATTAAATAATTTATTCTGCACTATTAACTACAAATGTAAATATTATTTTAAGGGAGTGGCTAAAGCATATTAGGCTGCAAGGAACAAAACAAAAAAGGCTCCCACTCTTTCTAATGTAGGAAAAAGTATTGAAGAATCACAGCATGATCAACCACTGGCTGCTCCAATTCCAGCATCAAAGATAGTGCATAGATTCAATGTACTGAATAGGGAAACTGCACTTCATTTTTTCAAGGAAGCTTGGAAGGCTCTTAGTTCTGCCAGATACCACTCTGGTGCTTCTGGGCCATTTTGTCCAGTGGAACTGTGATCATAGCCATAAGCCACTGTTAGTTCTTCATCCTTCTCCACTGCTTGAATTGTCCGAATACATTTAATCAGTCCAAAGCGAGGGTGAACAAACCTAGAAAATAAATAGGCATATGGATTCAGGAAAACAAGATGAAAAATGCAAGCTATTAATTACTTCACGTGAAACAATAATCACTGTAGTATTACATTTACTTTAAGATTTTTTATTCTTATCCACAAGAAATAGTACTAAATTTTATTGTGGGGAAAATAGGATGAAGGCGTGTTGGATATGTTCCCCACTTTGAGTTATTTGAAAATAATAATAAAGGTGAGATACAAATAAGCAAATACAGTAAAAATAAGGACTTACTTTAGCATAGATTTTTGAGTTTTATTTAAAAGAAGATTGCTATGGCTAATTACAACTTGGTTTTAAAAGTCTACCCCATTCCAATGGAAACTTTTATTCAAGAGCTGCAAAAGTAGCAAACTCCCATAGATATAAGTAATTCTGTTCTTATATGTTCATATTTGGACAAGTACAATTAACTTATTTGAGTCTACCATAAATTTCTTGGTATGTTGTGCTATAGAATACATTTGCAATGGCTACCCATAATAATGTTTCAAATCTCAATCACACAAAAACTAATATGTAAAATTAATGAAGTTACACATAGTAGGCCAGGATTAATGCTTGTGCTTCATTTAAAGGTGTCTGTTCTATCAAGCTGGCACTTTTTCTAGAAATGTTTTCCTTAGTTCCATTTTTAACTAAGGCAATTTGTCATGTATATGATTTAGTGTTTGTCCTTACAAACACACATACACTAAACCACAAAATCAGTGTATCATTGTGTATAATCATGACAGTTCAAGACACGAGCAGACATTAAATACTTACGAGTCATAAACAGCATTTGGGGTGAATGAGTGGTTTGCCTTATGCCCCAAAGAGGCACAGTATTTGGTTACATGGCTGTAAGGTTCTGGTACATCTATGACAGTTTCATCATCAAGGGATATTGTATTTCCATTCAAAGACCAGTCCCTGCTGTCCACCTGGCATTGAAAACAATACTGCTATGACAAATATTTATTTTTATCAAATCAAAACTCACACACGTTTTTGAGTTTGAAAGAACCAGATATATACATTGTTTGGCAAATGTGCCACATAACATCACAGCTTGGAGGAGGCGGGGAAAGGGTATTCCACTCCAATATAACTATTCATTAAAAATTATATACCTGCAATCTTGGGTACACATTTCTCCTTTTCATTACAAGTCAAAAAAATAAGACTTTGTGCGTGTGTGTGTGTGTTTGTGTGTCCCCTCAACTCAGTGCTGATTCAATCTTTCTCCCTCAAAAAGCAGACTAGTATAAATTTTTTGTCACTAGAGATCATTCAGATTTATTTTTAGTATTTAACAAAATTATATCATGAAAAGAAGATGGTATTTATTATTGTCAAGACTAAATGCTGTACAGGTAGTCCTCGACTTACAACAGTTCATTTAGCGCTCATTCAAAGTTACAGCAGCACTGAAAAAAGTGTCCTATGAGCATTTTTCACACATATGAGCATTGCATCATCCCCATGGTCACATGATTTACATTCGGCTGCTTGACAACTGACTCACATTTATGACGGTTGCAGTGTCGTGGGGTAATGTCATCACATCATATTTTGCAACCTTCTGACAAGCAAAATCAATGTCCCTTAACTATGTTACTAATTTAACAACTGCAGTAATTCACCTAACAAACGTGACAAGAAAACTTGTAAAATGGGGCAAAACTCACTTTACAAATTTCTTACTTAGCAACTTAAATTTTGGGGTCAATTGTAGTCAGAAGTCGAGGACTACCTATATAGCTCTTGGGAGATCTTTAAATCAGGGCTCCTCAACTCCCGGTCATGCCAGAAACTGGGCCACACAAATAAGTGAAGCCCCATCTGTGGGATGCAGGCAGCAGGCCAAACCATGCCCCTTCTGGTCCATGGAACCAGTCCCTGGTGCCCAAAAGGTTGGGGGCTGCTGCTTTACCATCTGAAGTAACAGATGTGAATTAGCACAAAAGTTATTAGTACAAATGGCATAAACATACACCCCATCTTTCTATTTAATGAAATGCTGTTACCATGCAAAAACTATTGAAATATTAATAAGCAATGTGGAAGTTGTTACAGAAGCAATGAAAAGGTTTCTTTGTACTTTACCTCTTGATGTGTAATTCGTATGCCATTGTAAAAAGATAAAACTGTGCCAGCTTCAGCAGCTATTTTAGTAAATAAACCTTCTCCAGCATTGGAAATAAGAGATGCGTCTACATAGACCCTAAATTAAAGCAATGAATAAAAATAGTATCTGATCTACAACTTCATGCACGTGCATTAAGGCTTCAAGGACAGATCTTATTAGAGTGCACATGAGAATCTAGAAGTGAAGCTCATATTGCTATATGTTAATTTTGAAATATGTCAAAAGAAACAAATAGTTTAAAGAACTTTAAACAGAATAAGCTAGTCATTCATATCAATTACATGTTTTAAAATATTAGAATTACACATTCCATATTATCCTTAGTTCTGGGTATCTATGGATAACTAAAAATGAATCCCAATATACAATTTATTTAAAAAGGGCTTTTTAGGTTGTTCACAATTGCAATCCCTTAAAATCAGCCTTGGAATTAGTCCTCTTTAATACACAACACATATTTCTGAGTATCCTATGAAATTATGGTGTAAGGGAATTCTGTGGGGCTAATCAAAATAACCGATGACAGTTATGAGTGCATGATCAAAGTTCCACCAATTTTAATATGTGTTGCATACATATAAAGTGACAGGGCTTTGATTGTGTGTTCATGACTTTATCTCACCTGACACTGTGCACACATGTTGCCTACACACACGCAGAGAGAGAAAATATATTCAAAGCAATAGACAGACTGGAGACAAAACCAGCTCATGGAAAAACAAACTAGACCAGAGATTCCCAGAGGTTCTCAGTTCACAACATCCTGAGTATCTTGGTAATTTTTTCATGGTGCTCCTGACCTATGCAAAACCCTGAACTACTTCAAGCTAGGAGTTTATGATCCCACGGCACCATTGTGAATTCATTTGGGTAGCCTTCTGTGGCTCAGTCAATGAACAGTTGAAAAAAACATGACTAGACTAGTGTCAAATGTGACAATCTCTATGTTCTCATAAATATTTGGAAGTGGAAAGGAAGTAAATGGATAGTATACTCATGTGTGTAATCCAGTGAAATATTATTTGCAAGTATTTGCACGGAAAGACAACACTATAATAAAGCATTATACCTCTCTGATTCATAAGGGTCAGGAAGAAGTGGACTCGTAGAAATGCAGGATGAAGTAGATTTATCAAAATTGTAAACTGGGCCTATAATAAATCAGTACAGAAAATAATATATAGGATAAAAATGTACCATTTATGTTACACAATTTAATATTTTTTTAAAAAGACCACTGTTTTTGGATCAATTTATAAGAATTTTGCATATACATTTTTGATGTTCTTTCCAACTGTAAGCAATTGTATAGGAGTTTGGCTTTACCCCAAAATAATGTTTCTTGACTAATTATGCAAATGGATAATTTCTTAAGTGTGGTTTAGTCTTAAACATTATTTTTGCATGCCTCTTAAAAACTTAAAAATTACATATCAAATGGCTACAAATATTAGGTATCTGAAATCTATTGGGAAATATTTTCCTTGGTAACCAAATTCTAAAAATGGATTTGTTCCTGAATGCCATCAATCTATAGAGTTGCAATATATCCTGCTGTCAAAGTATAAATTATAATTTAAATTTTGTTCCAAAGGAGTTAACAGCAGCCACCATATCACATTTAAGTACATTTCTTCATGTTTTTATTAAATGTATATGCTACCATATCACTACTTTAGCCTTATATAACTGCTCCTTGAAAGAACATCAAATAGCTTTAGATAAGGCATAAACTGACAAAGTAACCCCATGATAGTAGCAATATTCACCTGCCCCGATAAGCACAAGTTTTTTTTCTTTTTTTCATCATTTTCTCTTCCTTCCAGCTACTATGCCCTAGATACACAGAACTGGAGCAAAGGAGTTTATAATTTGGAATTCAACAGCAGTACTCTCAGAAAGGACTCAAGAAATGGCCACTAGATAGGAAGCTGACACAGTGCTTGGGAGATCCCAGAAAATAGACAATGTTTAGAAGAGTAACCGGCAGTCAAAAAGTGCTGACAAATATGCTGACAAGTATGTCTTGATCTGAAATGACAGTATAGATTACAATATTTATATTTATATTGTCTGCTGTCCATGTAAAATTCCTCAGCTTGACTGAAAAAGAAACACCGAGGAACAGTAATTATATATGGTTCTGAGAATCTCTTCTTTTCTTTGTATATTCAGCTGTTGTAAATGGGGATCCACATTCAAAATATAAAAAGCCAACCTAATTATTAATGTCAGATAGAGGTTCACATCGCTACATTACTTGGTAAAAGACATAGAATTAGCTAAAATTTGGCCTTAAAGGCAATATATACTGCAAGTATAATACTTTAATAAAGTGATCAAATCTTTAAGAGGATCTAGACATTTACATATTATGAGATATAATAAATGAGTGACAACTTACTGCCTGGTATAACATCAAATTGTATTTTTTCTTCCTCTGACAGTATAACATTTGCCAATCTTGCTTCTATCATTTCACCATCTATGAAGTGTCCATAATATGCCATCTTCCCATCAGGGTATACATAGGCTAACTTTTCTCCAGTCATCTCTCCTTCTTCATTAACTTGTCCAACCAGATACCCACCATCCTGAAAAAAAGCAATAAAAGTATTTCCAAAAATTAAGAGGAAATATTGTGTGCTGTTTTTTAATTTGATGAAGATTACTGTTAACCAAAATCTCAATATTCTCAATATTCAGATGTGAGGTTCTCAAGCTTTTTGAACCCAAAATTAAAAAGTTAAATTAAATTTTCAGTACTCTGATCAAAAGGCAAAACTCTGGGGTTAGACAACTGGCTTTGTTTGAGTGATTTTTTTTATTTAAAAAAGTGTCCTTAATCTCTCACAGAACCTTATAGTTTCAGGGAACAAAGTGTGAAAAACTCTGATCAGGATAATAAAAGTGCCAGTTAGAACTTTATTCTTTCATTTTCTATTCTTTCATTTACTCTGTCTTTTGCACCTCTCTACTCACCATTTCGGTCCTATTAATGTAAAATGCTGGGTCTGTAAAGATGAAGGTAGTGTGTACAGGTTCCGTTTATAAAATAAAGTACATGCATATAAGATAAAAAGGATCAATTTTACTATATTCCGCTTCCAATCCCTAAACAGTTTCCAACAGAACTAAGTCACCACTGAGTTTGGAAAATATGCTGCATCCAAACTTCAGGGTGATCATGGCTGAAAGGGTGGGTTAGGATACAAAGGACTATATTTTTGCTCTCATTGGATTTCATATGTTGTCAATTAGAATAGATCTAACTCCATGATTAGCCTTTACTGGCCTTTGTTTCTCATTTGAATGCAATCTAATTCAGCTCTTCTTTGTTTTTCTCTAAGTTTCTCTATTTTCAGCTTAGTGTATCTTAACGAATAGAGCAATTCTGCTGGTGGGTTTATATGGTTTTCAAAAGAGAGTTTTGATAGCATATAATGTTAAAATATTTAAATAAAACATTAAAAATAGTTCTGTCAACTTTCAGATGACAGAGAGTTCTTTTCACAGGCAGAAATGTTATGTGCTTCATCCTGTGCTTCTCAGCTAGCATTAACTTGGAGAAAGGACTATACTGCATTTGATTTCATTGATTTTGCCAATCTTTCATTCAGCTTTTTCCAAGTTGGCAATCTTCATATGTTGACAAGTAAATCTAGAAATTGTAGTCCCAGTAGCTGTAAAGGGTGTCATTGTGAAGAATACTGCATATAAAATACTTTAGTAATATGGTTCTTTGCTAGTTATGGCTGCAAAGCAAGATATTTTCTGTCTTACTTTCCTAGGGACAATTCAGAACTGAGTGCAAAGGGCTATTATTTAGTCTTCTTCCACAGCTTAACACTTCCTTCAAACTTGTTTTGGGAAAGACAGGGAAAATGTATAAGAATCCATTAGCATGGTTTGCTCTTCAAGTTACATAATTGAGAACATTTTGTTACCAATGGAAGGATGTATATAGGAAGGACAGAGTCTCCACAGTTCAGGCAAGGCAAAATATCACTAGCTTGAGCATCCTGAATAGAGCCATTCATTCATTTATGAAAACAACTGCAATTCTGCTGCAGTTATTCTATATCAAAATTGGTTAAGATTATCTCAAAAGTATTTATTACAACTGTATGTAGATTTTCAGTTATCCAGGTCATGGTTGTCCCAAAAGTGCTTTTTTTTCTAAGAGGCAACTGGACTTTCTGGACTTTTTCTATTTATTACAACCTTTATCCATGCCACACAAGATAGTTCATGCATTTGCTCACATGCATAAAATTCACACATGAAACCGAACACTGTTTATGTTGTGTTACTTGCAACATAACCCTGGAGTCACTCTATAAATCTGCTAAGGTGGAACTTTTCTGCTTTTAAATTTGGTATGGTTATGAACAATTATATTCAACTATGTTCATTTATTTTTCTTATTCTTTTATTTTTTTGTTTTATGTACTTGTAGTATACATGTATACTTGTATAATTTATATTATACATAGTATTCTTGCTGTAAACTTCCATTAGTCACTGCAGATTTGGCAATACACAACTGTGATAAAATAAGATACTAATTTGCATCCAAACTGTAACAACCTATCTCCATTTAGCTTTGAAGTGAACAAAATAACGAAAAAAGCATTGTATCTCTGGGTAACAATATCTGCTACTTTTGTAATACTTTTTACATCATTCACACACACACACACACACACACACACACACACACGAGATGAAGCATGCACTGTATTGATGTGAAGCTCTCCCTTGACCCCTGCAGATTCCTTGGTATAACTGTTAGTGTTACATGGTGAAACATGTGAGAGGACAATCCAACTTACTGAATAGTAAATCCAACAAAATCCATGCCGAATATTATCTTTGTATTGCCCTTTGAAGACCAATCGTCCATCAGCATCCTTTTCATGAGCTAGACCATTCAGTTCACCATCAATGTAAGTGCCATGAAGTGTGCCGCCATCCTCATAGGTGTATATTCCTTGGCCTTGCAAACCATCATCAACATAAAAGCCTTCTAGTGTGCTAGCAAACAAAAAAGAACAGTGTAGAAACCACTGTTATTTTATCTCAATTACATACTAATAACATACTAAGTCATACTCTTATTTATTTCATGCTTTATGTTCCCAAACATTGTGATTTATAAATCATGGCTACTAGTTTAGTATGTTATGCCTTCACACTAATTCTGGTACAACATATAATATATGCATGTCTAAAACAGCATGGCTAAATATGAATTCAAAATCCAGTGAAAGAATTCATAGACACTGTGATGTCTACCTTCCATCAAAGAAGAAGAATTTTCCATGACCATTCTTTTCTCCATGCACAAAGTTTCCTTCAAATCTGTCTGTGGAAGAATATGTGACTATACAAAACCCATGGGGCATATCATCATCATCCAGTGTTCCTAAAAAATAACAATAAAAAACTATTTTGAAACCAGTGGGACTCATACAAGCAATCTGTTCTTTCAAGAAACAACATTGGATGCTGATTTTATCCAGCCACACAAACTAACTCAAATTCCTCTAGCACGTTGCCCTTATACTGCTTGAGTATTTATAAATTTAGTACAAATGTAGTATTTATCCACTTCAATTATTAAGACACTGATAAATACATTTTTCTTCTTCTTTCAGAGCCTGATATATGTTCTGAGTGGAGAATGAAATAACAGCATAAGGGCCAAATGACCAGCATTCTGCAAAACTGGTATTATGGGAGATGTTACATTCTATTAAGGAAATCTATGTATGTAGAGATGTAAGAATGAATCAACTGTGGAAACACACTGTAGCTGTCAGACAAGTGCTACTGACCCAGTTCATTGATGTAAAATGACCTTTATTCCAAGCAAATAAAATAACTCAGACACATCCCCAATAAGTCATGGGTGATATATTTTCAAACTTTATTATTTTATAATCTGCATGTTCCCAAAAAGTCTGTATTCCATGGACAAACCTGCACATTTCTGATATATGAAGTAGACAAGTGAAAACATTTTGAAGCATGACTCATTGAGATAAATATGATCAAATCAGATGAGTCAACACCACTCATAGTTTGTTCCATTATATCCCAAATTTATATAGGACATCATTTTGACAGCAGGAATGTTGCAGCAAATTTAATGCATACTGTACCAAATTTGCATGGAGTCATAGGTTTTATTTTACTCCATTCTCTACAGATCTAGACATACAAAGACAGAGATATGGACTCAGTTCAAACAGCTGGACATTTTTAGATATACAAGAAATGTGTTTTGATTCAAATGTAACTTTTACTGTATCTTGTTATGCACTTGCAACAATTCTTAGGTTATATTGTTTCTAACATTTTATTTCTTGACATTATAATATTTAGCCTATGGAAATATTTGTTCTCACAGTTCTGACTCAAATCAAACAAACTGGTTTTTAAAAAATGTGTATTGCAGATACTGCCACTTACCTGGTTATCTGCAAGAATGAAAACTGCATCAGCTGCCCAAGAAAACAGATTTTATTACTGTCAGTTTTCAGACAAAGCTGACTTGTAATTGTATCAGACGGCATTGCTAACTATAGTTGACATTTGTTCCACAGCATCTCCATAGAGGTTGACAATGAACTATTGATCTTATAGTTTTACTTCCTTTAGAATCAACACATGTTAACTGAGAAACATTTTCCAAGGATGATCACATTTGGCTAAACTTTCAAAGTTCATAATATTATTGGATATGAGAGAGATGTAGAAACTGGCAATATTTAGATTGATTAGAGGCTACAGACATTGGAAAGTGCGAATAAATATAGAGATTGTACAAATGAAATATAGCACAAAGGTGAACAAAATAATCAGGGATCTTTATTATTTCACCTCTTCTAATAACAATACTAAAAGTCAAAATGCAGTCCCATTACAGCATATTTTATACTTGAGTAACAGATTACTATGTTTGTAGCACTATGAAAATTGTTGAATGGGGTTTTCAAATTGTGTAACAGTTTTATCTGGGACAAAGTGACCCTGAGACAAGCAAGAAATCCCCATCATCCAAGATCTCCAATTTCTGGGAAATGTGTTAAAATCCACAGATGTGTTTCTATAATTTGCTTTTATTGTTTTAAGTACAAGAATTCCATGTAAACACCAACTAATAAAAAATAAGATGACTACCCTTCTTCCACTTATCAGCATCTTCAAAGGCCTATTTAAAAGGGAAGATTTTAAGAAGCCTCCCAAATGCCAGGAATAAGATGGCTAAGTGTGCTTTCAGGTTCACCATATCCCACAAAATTAGAGCCACTACTTAAGCCTATTTTCAGGCCCATGCCTGCCTCACCTCACCTGGGTGTAGGATCTTAAACAGGCTACTCTTAATTATCAGCCAGCATGGGCAAAATAATGTTGGACAATGTAGTTGCTAAAATAGCCCAGCACTTTGTCCTATAGGGTTTCATAGGTAAATAGTCAGCATTTTGAATTGGGCCCAAATGACTTCTGCCTATCAGGATATCAACCATAAAATAACTTTTCTTTTGCAATGTTGGGATCTATTCACAGCAGCCTGGGTTCCTGTTCTCTGTATCAGCTGTACTTCTACATTATCCTTAAAGTAGAATATAATGCACTGTAATAATCTCACTGTAATAACATCATGAATCATTATCGTGCCTTATAATTGGCGTATTAGCTGATGGGAAAAGGCCATCTAGTCCAGCTGGAATCAGAGCCACAGCTGGAACTAACGTTTCAGGAAGGCGGAAGATTTTTATGGATGAAGAATAGGTCTGACTTACTAGGGCCGTGATGGCAAACTTATGGCACGTGTGCCGGAAGTGAGCCATCTCTCCATCGGCTGTTGCTCTTCTGGTTTCCAGTGCGCAGCTGGTCTTCGCGCATGTGAGAGCGGAGGAAACCAGAACAGCAGCTCCCTGGCGCACATGTGCATGGCAGGAAGCTGAGCTTCTGGTTTCCAGTGCATGCAGGCCAGCTGGTCTTCGTGCACGCATGAATGCCAGAAACCAGAAGACCAGGTGGCCAGCACGCATGCACATGCCAGAAACGGAAAGCTCAGGTTTCTGACATGCACATATGCACCGGGAAGCTGCTCTTCTGCTTTTTGGTGTTCCTGCACGCACATGCGCAATTCCCGTTTCGGCACTTCACCAACACTGCACTAGTGTTTAATCAGAACTCTTTCTTCACAACCAGTTCCTAATATCTTAATACCTTTAAAGCATTTTTGGCTTGTCCAAAGTGGCGATGTATAGCTCAATATCATTAGCATACCAATGATATTTAACCTCTTAAGGTTTTAGTAATGATACTAAAACCTTAAAGAGTTTTATGTAGATGTTAAAAAATTTGGGGAGAAGACTAGCATTTTGGTAATCAGCACTGGAACTACTATGGGTTAACATTCTTCCCCTATTAGCACTGACTGGACATTCAGGTGTGATTCTTACCAACAACCTTCTCTAAAAGGGATGGGTGAAACCTGTCCAGAATTGCTGGACCAAGAGATGGCCTCTTCAAGAAAGGGTCATTACCACCTCTTTCAAAGTCAGGAACATGCCTAACAAATGCAGGTAACCAAGTGTACACTCCTGGCCACTCAAAGAAGCCAAGTCACACTGGTGACTAAGATCACATTCTACTACGAAGATTTGATCATCCAACCAACCTAAAGAAAAAACAAGTCAGAATTGCAGGAATTCTTGAAAGAACCTGAAATTCTATCAATGTATGTGAAAATGGAATTATTCATATAATCTGACATTATGAGTCTGATATTTCATTTTAAAGGAAAAAACAGAAAGTTACCAAATTTTTGCCTCTAACAAGACTTCTCAAAGAAATCATAATATGCGCTTAGTTGCATCCATTTCAAAAAATGTCTTCTTAGCTATGAAATGGTACAAAAAATAAAGAAACCCTCATAGTCACATATACCACTGCCTTTATACACCTCATGTTAACATGATAAACAAATTGCATCAGACCTAAATTCTTAAAACCTTTGCAAAACTACTCTTGACTAAGAGGTATGATTTGGATACTTTACATTGATTAAATTGTATGTCTCTGTTTAACAGTGTGAAATGATTAAGGAGATTAGCAAAAGAAATAAAACAGGTTTTGCTTTGTATGTAAATCTATTTTATCATAAAATTCAATGGAGGAATGCCAATATCTTGTTATCAGGAGCAAATCTGACATACTGTCCTTTTCAGACAGTCAATTCAGCTCCCGGTACCTGGTATTATTAAAAGAAGATCAGTCTGAAAGAAGATCAATGAAAGTTGCCATATCAACAAAAATATCCTACATGAAATATATCTGGTTTTCTGAAAATATTTATGATAATCCAAAAAGCCTCAGGACAGACACGTAACAACCTTCTCCTGTAAACATACGTTTGCACATCAAGTAGTTGTGCTGAACATGCCCAGACACATGACATACCTCGTCTTGCAGGAAGTGCATGTCTGCAGTCATTAGAATGGTGTATCTCTGCTCAGTTGCAGAGTGTAGATAAATATTCTGCACACAGGTGTGTTCATTTTTTATTACCTCTCATTTTATCCAAAAAGGCTGGAAATAGGGTTTGCTCATTATGTTTATTCCTTCATTTCTTGCTGTAGGATTGCAATAATATGTGTACGAATTTTCAAAAAACATGCTATGGCCTTAACAGTTATTATTTCTTCCATTTAAGGTGTTGATTTAAACAATTCTACAAACTTTAAAAAAACGTTTGGGCCATATTTATGTTAAGTCATTAACTTTAAGGTTGGCAAGCATCCTTTCCTGATGGGATTAAATGATGCATCAATACTAATAGTTTTATGACTTAGCGACATTTGTACTATATGGATTTGACTGGTGACATTATTCTTTAAAACCGCTATTAATTTTACTAATTATAGTTATACTTATAGCACTTATAATCACTTGCCCTATATAAGCCAAGGTGTGTTCATAAATGAATACAGTAAGCAGTGATGTATCCTAATGACTAATTGTGAGAATCAACGCTCAGATCAAGTTTTCAATTACCCAGTATTAGTAAAATATTTCCTCTACCTTGTCTTTCTCTTCAATTTATGTGTCATTCTGTTACAGATTACAGTATACCCAGATGAGCCCAACTGGTTTTAAAGTATAGCCCTACATACTGTACTTAATTAGTTTTGACTTTCCCTTGTCTTGAAAGAAAAAAAATGTTTAGTACTGCTATGGATCTAAGTCAACACATAAAAAAATTCAAGTCAACAACAATCCTCACAGACCCTAAATTTGTATACAAGTAGGAACAGAATTCCATATTTAATGAATTTACTTAAAATACATTTCAGATTTTAAATGCAATCACTATAAACATTGTCAGCAATTAAACATAATTTATATTAGTTCAAAAGGCAGAATCTTCCATTGCCAATACAGTTGTTTCCAAATTATATGGTGCCAGGATTGCAATGTAGTTATTGTTCTGCAGATCAGAATGAACCAATTTAACACGTGCCAATTCTAAAAATCTTGCTAGAAACTTCCAGGAGGAATAGTAAAAATAAAAAAATGAATATTTAGATTTGGGTTAAACACCCTTATGTCTCTGTTTAGGAACTTTTTAAAACCAAATCTTCACTTTAACATCTCCAAATAGGTCACATTTTAATATTTTTCATCAGAAATATACAAAAGTTTGTGGGGTGTGGACTTCTGTGTTGCATCCATTACAGTGCAGGAAATTTAAGCAGCTCAACAGATTTGCCATGTTAGCCACATGAATTTTTCAAATTATTCAACCATATAATACTACTAATATTAATATTACTATTACTAATATTAATACTACTAATATTAACTACTACTAATACTAATACTAATACTAATACTACTAATAATAATAATAATAATAGAAAGTCTCAAACTATGTTAAACTTCTCCCAGATCTCATGGTCCCTGAAAACATTTTTGACGGTACGATTATTCTGAGCCCCCTAAAGGACAGTGCAGAGTGAAACTAAGGCACAAACGTGCAAACAGTGTTTTTAAAACCGGTCGGAGCGTCTAAGACCCCTTTGGTCTCTCTCAACCGACAACCGTATTAATCTGGAGCCGAAAGGACCAGATGGTAGCGAAACTTCAGCGAGTAGATTTAGACTAACTGTACATAGCACGCTTTTCAGCGCATAGAAACATTTCCACCCTCCCCTCCACGCCACGCTTCTGCCCGGGAAAAGAAAGGCAAAAGGGTTTAGTTTAACAGCTTAACAGAGTTTGAAGGGACCTTGTAGGTCTTCTAGTCCAACCCAACCCAACCCCCCCGCCCGCGTCCAAGCAAGGAGACCCCACCTACACCATTTCTGACAAATGGCTGGCAGTAACTCTGGAGGTCGGTCGTCCCTGCGGACGGAAGCGGCGCTCCCTTTTGGGTTTACTTGAAGAAGAGAAAGTCATTCTTCACCCCAAGCGAATTTCCCCCAAAGTGTAGTCCACGCTGTGCCACGCGCCCCAAATCAACTTTCAAGCACCGACTCCACAGGGAAAAGGAAACTTTCAGTGGGGTTTGGGGTTTTTTTGCCCGTTAAAGCGCACCCCAATAGAAGGAGAAACCCTATTCCCTCCCGGAAAGCTGCCAGGCGTAAAGAAACCCTCCACATTTACTCCCAGCGGAGGAGGAGCTTCTTCTTCCATGTTCGCCATGTGGAGAGATGCGCAGAGCTCGGGGGCAGAAAAACACCTCAGGCTTGTCCCCGCCTCGGGCTGCGAACTTTCCCCCAAGCCCGGCACCCGCGAGCGACTCGCCTGAACTCCTCCCTCCCTGGCTTAGGCCCAAAGCCACGCAATTACCCTCGACGGTCTCTTCCAGCGTCTCCTCGTCACTGTCCATAGCTCAGCCCGCCGAGCGCAAAGCACTCCTCTTGCTCGGCCGCAGCGCCTTGCCTTAGGTAGGTGTGCCTGGTGACGCTCCCGCTTCGTCCAACCCGAGAAGAGCCGCCCGCTCCACGCGCTCTCCCCTCGGAGCTCGCTTTGCCCGAGAGCCACTCGCGCGTTTGGCTTCTCCCCGCTTTGTTATAGAGCAGCTGATCCGCTGACATCACCCTGGGATGGGGCTCTTCCTTGAGTGACAGCTCCTCGCGCAGCGCCGAAAGCGGAAGCTCCCTAACCGAAGTCGTGGCTGCTCTTGAGTCCCAACGCCGCCGGGCAGTGTTGCTTTCCCAACGCCGCCGCGCTTTTGGGGGCCTGTTTCGGCGCGAGGACGACTCTGCTCCCCGATCAAACCCCTGTGCGCCTTGTGGACTTCCATAAGCCGCGCGGATAACGACAAATAGCTCGCTCCCAATGCGAGAAATAAATACCGATAAATCTGGGCCACACATCGGTGTTGCCTCCCCTTTCTAAACTCTTTTGTAAAGACATGTAGCAATGCTGGTGAAGTTTAAATGCAAGTTAGTAAGTAGGGTTTTTTAAAATACTTTTTTAAAATACCGTATCAGATATCCTGGCTATTAATTTATATATAAATATGCAAATAGCGTTCTAAGAACTCTTATGGTAAGCCTTTAATAGTCAATTTTAGCAGAGAGATAGAAAAATAAACTGTTGTATAGTCTTTGTACTATAAAATGTGTCAGGAAA